CATATATTGTATATACTATATATAATAAATTTTCTTTAAACTTTGCTTTTAATGAATTTCAATTACTCCAATACATAAACAATGTGTTCCATTTGTAATAAAAACGCACGACTAAAGCTTAGAAGTACTTTATTGGAAAAGTAATATTCGGGAAAATATACGCGTATTGAAAGAGCAGACAATATAATATTGTGTATCTGTCGTTATTTGTGAATATCAAAATGAGTTCTATTGAAAAATATGAGATTGTGACTTCCTTTTGCAATCCACTACATATTGTCAACAACTACGCCTGATTCTAGATTGGACCAAAAGTATGAAGAGAGAGGAAAAAGTTATTATCTCTTAATAGTATTATAGCAAACTCTGGTGTTATTGCTATAAAACTTCAAGCGTAGAACTTATTGTTTAAAACAAGTATATAAGAAAAAAAAATTAAATTTATAAAACAACTAGCTGATCCGGCAAACGTCGTTTTGCCATGTTTATCATTTACAATAAAAAATAGATGTTGTCCGATTCTCAGTTATACCCAATATGCACACAAAATTTCATGAGAATCGGTCAAGCCGTTTCGGAGGAGTCTAACCACAAACACCGCGACACGAGAATTTTATATATTAGATTGCAAATATAGGGCAAAGTCCATAAATAAATTCATATGTTCTACCGTCTGCATTCGATTTAAACGTCGTGTTAAATCTAGAGCTTTCCATTGTACGTGATAAGTTGCAAGTTTCAATAGTTCTAGTCGTAGGTTCTAGTGCTCGTTAGATTTCCAATAGCTATACAATAGACAGAGTTTCAGTTCGTTATTCTTGCATTATGCGAAGGCACGTATTTGATTCTAGGATGATGTACAGTCCAAATGAGACATCTTTTTTGTATAATTAATAAAATATAGATTATAGGTGTTAAATAATTAATTTTTAGCCTGATGTTATGTTGTTGTATGTATTTTATGTATCGATAACTTACTTCGAAATAAAAACATTTTATAATTTCGAACCATTAGTTCCTGAGGTTGGCACCTGTAGGCAAACTCTTTAGCTTTAATATCTATATTCTATATATACATGATACATATATAAATAAATTGCTATTCGTGCTGAAACTCAAATATGGCTGGACCGCTTATTATCTGAAAACCTTTGATGAAATTCAGGGTAGTTTTAAACAATGGGATACATGTATATTAAGTTAAGAAATATACTAAAAACGACAATTAAATTTTCCAATAAAATCTCTTCTAAGCGGAGAAATATTTGATGTCATTTTATTATCACTTGGTTATCATCTATAACATATACAAGAAAGTCGGTTAGTTACACTATTTATAACTCAAGAACGGCTGAAGCGATTTGGCTGAAAATTGGTGTGGAGGTAGCTTGGAACCAGCTCACTTGGACGTGATAAAACGTGGTATAACAAAAGGCAACAAACAGAAAAACTAAAAATATAACAGTCAAAACATCAGTCCAGCCATTCATTTGTTAAAAATGGTATAACGAAACACAACTTACAAATAAACGTTATGTTATCTCAGGTATCTGATTAAGTATGATTGAAAAATTTACATATAGAACTTTTGAAGTTGCTGTGTTTATTTCGACTCTCTATTAGCTTATCGTGCCGATATTATCATTAACAATGCCACGATCAAGACGATCGAATCTTTGCCGGCAAAGCCATAATGGAATAAATGGGTGGACCGATTTTGATGAGTGTTTAAGTGGATTCGAGATTATCTCACGTTATTTAAAATTAGATGTTTTTTGTTTGTTTTTTAAGTTTGAAATTTTGTATTTAAGATATGCGACAGCGTCTGTCGGGTCCACTAGTATATTTATATATGTATTCAGAAATTTTTGACTTACAGCTGAAGTATTAGGTTTTAAAAAAATATATTAATTTTTGACACAAATATATGTAGGTGATACGACGTTCACCGGGTCATCTAGTTAATATATATATTATTATAATGTAGAGTATTCATTTCTATTTCATATACAAATTGTAAAATATGCTACATACAAAATTCGTAGGAGTTTCAACAATTTATACCGGTGAATTTAAACAGCTCATTCTTATTGAATAATTCAAATATTTTATATTCATAATGGAATATAAAACTGAATAACACGAAATATTCAAACAATGACATTGATAATATTTTTCTTTATGGAACATTACGGTCTTTCATAACGTTCTATATACTTTATTGTTTAAAGCAAACGTAGATCTTTGTAATGTAATATGAAAAAGATGAATTTTAACCAAAAAAATTTACATTATTGGTAGTAATGTCTGTCTTTAAAAAGCCAACAAAAAATAAGTAGTGGTTCGATTCCCGGCGCATCAATAATTTGGGCTCTTAACTTCATCTACATACTTTATTCAATAGTAAATAGGTAAGAACTTTCCTTCAAAATAGACAAGAATGACTAAACAAAATTTTCGGAACTCATTAAATTTTAATGATATTTGCAATTGTTTTCCCATTTTCACGAACATACCTTAGTAGTATGTGCACGTGAAGCGAAAAAACGTAAAACTGTTTAAAATCAGCTTCTGCACAGAGCAACAATACAATTTCAAATTTACCGTAACAAATTTCTGAAACGTCGAAATAGCACACATCGAAAACGAGAGCAGAACGTCACATGCACGGGCATTTGAAACATTCAACATTGTACACGAGATCTGGGTCACAAATACAATGCTAAATACGCCCAGCTTCTCGGGTACTGCCTTTTGAATGAGTATTAAGAACCAAGTAAATGCTTAGGTTTCTGCAACATCATACCTGGAACAAAAAGAAATGTTTTTTACTTTATGCTAACAACGCTGGTTTTGTATCCATTGAAATATATATATCAGTAGCACAATACACACGGTTAAGTTAACGACTGTAAAATACCAAATATTTAATAATATTTTAAGAGAAGAAACGCGTAAGTGGTTTAAGCAATAAATTAAAATCTGTCTTCGTTTTACAAGAGCATTACACAGACTAAAGATGATATAGTTACCAGTTACCATGTTTTAGTAAAAACCACAGCAAGGGACACAGTATTTTTTATTACTTTATTTTTCTATCATTACAGCAACAAAGAAAAAATAAAATGAAAAATCTAGCAAATATTGCAATTATCAAGTACCAAGTAAGTAAGTGTGTTGTTGTGAATAATTATATTTTAATAAAATATACCTTTGACCTACCGATAACGCGACGAATATTGAAATCGGCTATTCGTATTTATTATCAACAATTACCTTAATCTGTATCATTATTGTGAAGTTTAGTTGCGTGGCTGACGTCTGACAATGTAATTGAACCAATAATATCCTTGACGACTCATTGGTCTAGTGGTTAGTACCCCTGACTGCGAATCCATGGGTCCCGGGTTCGATCCCCGGCTGAGACGAACATCGATGTGATGAGCATTTGGTGTTGTGCTTAGGTCTTGGGTGTTTAAATATGTATTTATATGTCTATCTATCTATAATATGTATGTATATCCGTTGTCTAGTACCCATAACACAAGCTTCACCAGCTTAGCATGGGACTAGGTCAATTGGTGTGAATTGTCTTTACAAATAAACAAATAAAATAGATATATCTATACTATCTAATATTATAATTAGGTAAGGTTTGTAAATAGATGGGATATCTCTGGATCTAATCAACCAAATTTGATATATTAGCTATATAATTAGATATTTATTACCTAGTATTAGGATTTGGAGGAGAATATTTATTTATTTTAAAAAAATATCCAAAAGTTTATGTGACGTAAATTTTTCCAAATTTTTCCCTCCACCGAATCGTCGACATTCATTACAATCATATTATAATAATTGGTTTACAATTAAGGTACAAAGTGCGTCAGTAGAAACCTGTTACGACGCCCATGCCAAGTGTGGAGGTACAGGTTGTCTTTAAAGTCGAATTTATGTTTGTTGTGGGTAAATATAAAATAAAAGAAAAAAAAAACAAATAGAGAAAAGAAAATAATTTTGATACTTTTGTTATTCAGTTTTTCATGTAAGGAGTTCATTAAATTAGGTAATCAATCAACGATAATTGAGCTCTATAAAAACAAAAAGTCAACGGCAGCAATTTTATAAATACTAGCGGACCCGACAGACGTTGTCCTGCATGATATTTCAAGCGATTAGGATATATATTACACAAAGTATGAAAGTACCGACTGCAGCGCCATCTACCGGGCTGATTTGTGAATCTAAACCATCCAGGGCGCCACCGAAACGCATACAAAAAATTAATTCAATCGGTTCAGCCGTTTAAGAGGAGTTCAGTGACATACACACGTACAGTACAACACACACACAAAATACTACTGCACGGTATGTATTGCGGATTAAGTACTACTTTCCACGGTTTCCCGTGCGAAGGCGGGGTAACGAGTAATAATAACTTAATAGGTTTATTTTGACTCATTTGTATTTTAAAAATAAGAAACACCCGTATATATTTACGTTATATATATTTATCTAACTGCCAGCTGGGTTTTTTTTAGTAAATCCAAATATTTACCTATAAAAACATTAGTCTTAATGAATTCACATTTCATTAATAGTGTAGAGCAGGTGATAACGCAGCTTGAGACTAAACAACGAATAATCATTAATCACAGATTTTTCCAGCTGTCCACGACTCAGCTGTCCCGCATAAAATTAACCAATATCTATCTAATTTTATTATCATAAGATTAAAATAGCCCATAAGGCCATTTGACTAGTAATATTTTGATTTTCATATCCAATGTTTATTTATTTATTTATTAACACTTCTATTAAAGTACACAGAAATACGGTACAATTTAAATGATTTAAAAAAAGTCGGTCAACTGGCAGCCTTATCGCTTTCGAGCGATCTCTTCCATTCCAAAAAAATTAGATAAGGTGAGCGCAAAATGTGCACAACTACATAAGACATTAGTAGTTACTTGGACAAATCTAATGAAACAAAGCAA